GAGTCACCATGGGCCTCTTGGCTGCCTCTCTGATCAGTGATCTCCTTGTTCGGCCTGTAACAACTTTGTGTTGGTCTTTCACATTAAATTCCAGTGAAATATATTTATGTTTGTGGTTGTAATGTGACAAAATATGGAAAAGTTCAAGGGGTATGAATACTTTTGCAAACCACTGTATGTAAAAAAAAAACCTAACAAAAAAAAAACATTTTTATAAAATTTACCTACTGCAGCTTTAAAATGCAACCATTCCTTGAAGGAACGCGTACATTGAAATCTGTTCATGGTCTATGAGATGTTTTACTAACAGACTAAATTGACTCCAATAAAGTTTGAAATACAGAAATTGTGCCATCGGTTAGTGCTTAAAGTATGTGTTAGGAATGACTCAGCTACTACCACACTTAATTTTAGCTCAGCATGTGAAACACTGGATGGGTCAGAACAATTTCAGTGAATGCTAATTTCACTTAGCTGTGGTGGCCATCTTGAATCACTTGTAAACATGCATTCGATGGTTACTTTCATAAGATTTTGTCCACTGCTCTTGAGATATTTTGCTACTACAACAGACAAATGAAGACATACAGGCAAAGCCTAACAGCCCTCATGCCTTTGATACAGTTTGAGTGATAATCAGAAAATTATCTGTTGCCCTGTTTTGTACATGAACCATACAAAAAGGTGTATTCAAACATTTATTAGAATTTCAGATTTATTCACCTACTTTAGTGCAGAGGTCCTTAAGGCGATCTTGCAGGGGTCTATTTTGGACCTTCTGGCTCAAACACTGGAGCTCTTTGAGAACTGGCTGATAGTGCTGAGCCCTGAGGGAATGGTACACTCGCCGAAACTCCACCTGCTGTCTGGGAGTCCAGAACTGAGGAAGCAGGAGCTGACGTGGAAAATAGTACCTGGACAACAAAGAGCAGCCTCAGAAATGAGGGAGGCACAATTAGTGACGGTGAAACGTGTGTACCCATCATTAAAAATTCAAATACAGACATCAAAACAAGACTTACATCAAGACAAAAGCCAGGTAGTTTGCAAAAGGAGGAATACAGATCAAAAAAATTGGGATGGCCTTCATCACGTCTTTGTGAAACTGTGAAAAATATCAATTACTTTGAGATAACAAACATTATAAATATATTATAAATAATAAAAATATAAATAAAAAATGCACCACAAGCTCAAGATTGTTAATTTCAGAAAACAATCAGCACCTATGTTGCTTTTCTTTAGGCTGCTCCCTTCTGCAGGGGTGGCCACAGCTGTAGTCTGGTCCTACACAGTTCGGCTCATTTCTAGTTTCCCTTCACTGCTCCGTCTGGGATTTCGCCCAAAGACAAGGATTTCTTCAGGAGCATTTCATTCGGGCCAATCAGATAACAGAACGTCGATTTTCTGCTCAGTGTCTGCTGGTTATTTTAGCATACGGCAGTGGAGGAAGTGAATGAAGCCAGTCCGTGTTGATAAGGCTTCCAAATTAAAATAAATTTGTCTGACAAAGCAGCAGCTCTCATTT